CCTCCTCGTGTCGTCGTCGTTTCTATATTTACTTTATTAATTTAAATTTTAATTTTAATTTATTTATTTTATTTTATTTTTTTTAGTATATATATATATATATATATATATATATATACACATACACACACACACACACACACACACACACACACATATATACCATGCATCAAGGAGTTTTTATTGTACTAGAATATAATATTTTAGGGGAGTATTTGAAGCTATGGCTCAAATTTTTGTGTCTCAATGTTTATTAATATCAAATGTCAAAATTCTTGTATCAAATATTGACTTCATTACATTTGCCATGTTCCATAAGGTAATGTTTTATTTGTTACAACTTAATTCTTTATATAAAATATGCTTGTTTTGTAGTTGTAACATTGGCTTGCAGGTTGAAAATATTTTTCATTCATTTAATAAGTATTTTTTGAGAACCTCCTATACTCCTAGGTTCTATCTTAAACTAACCTGGTACAGGAATTTTTAAACTCAGGTCTAGAGCTCAATCTATTTCCTTTTCTTCATGCCATATATTCAGAGATGGGGACCAGAACTGTGGAGATGAATAGATTGGTCAAGAGGATGAAGATTTATTTGGATTTAGTTACTAGGAAGGGGTCATTATTGACCTTGGAAAGAATTTCTTAAAAGTGGTTGGGGGAAGAAAATCTTATTATAAGGAAACACGAAATAATAAGGAAATTGAAATACCAAGTAAAGGTGATTCTTCTTGGTATCTTAATAGTGAGTAGAAGGAGGATTCATGCAAGGGCTTGGAAGTACCAGAAACTAGGGGAGGAAACTTCAAAATAAGGGATATGTGAGGGTTGTAACAGAGAGCAAGGAGTTGGGAATCGAGTGATTAAATACCATGAAGAGAGAGGAGATAATTGAAACTATAATATCCCAGAGGAACCAAAAAGATAGTTATTAAGACATAAGTAAAAGGGGATTGGGCTTAGAAGAGCAGAGTGAAAACTTCATTTGATACAAGAGAAAGAGATGGGAATGAATGAAAATAGAAGTATTTTAAGACAGAGAAGTGGGATGGTTATGATTACTCCCAAAAGATAGCCTTTAATCTTCTCATAAAGTAGAAAGTAATATCATTTGCTGAGTGGAATAGGGTGAGAGGGAGATAGGAACATAAACAGGGAAAAACATTCTGCCATGGAAACATACTTGGAAATCAGTGAGTTGCAGCATTGACACCCCAGGTGAGGTTAGTGTGGATGTTACAGTGATCGATAATATCATAATGTTCTATAGCAGGAGTTGGCAAACAATAACCCAAGGGCCACATTCAGCCTGGTCTCTTAAAGATGAAGCAGGAGCTGTCAGTAGCTGCTTTGCTATGTTTTTCTGTATTGATGGGCTAAATGATTCCTGTATATGGCATAGTTGGATAGTATTTTCTGAAGGGCATACTCTTCCCTCTGCTAAGAATTGAAAATATGAGAAGCAGACAAAAAGCAAATGGCTAGAAATTTTCACTGAACTAAATAAGTTTGAAGTTACTGGTTCCTATTATAAAAGCCTCTGTTTTTCCTGGAGAATCAGACTATTTCCTGATAATCTGAAACCTTAAATACGTTAAACTTGATTTTAAATGGTACCTTTAAGTGGTTTTCAGTGAATAACCTTTGGAATATTTTAAAAGATTGAGTTAAATTTCTTTTAAGTTCTAAGAAGAATATACCTTAATTATGTTATTTATTTTAATTTTCCTTTTGTGTTGTGTCTTTTTTTCCTCAGTTCCCATTGCAAAAAATACAGCAAAAACACAGCCTTCTCCTTCCAAAGCAACCCAGCGTTCAATGCAGTCTCCACAGAAAACTGCTATAATATTACCAACACAGCAGGTCAAGAAATCAGGTCGGGCTAAACCACTTGGACATACTTCAGCCCCTAAGAAGGGAAGCTCTGCTAAAAATATCATACCAAGGAAAAAAGGCACAAACTCTGGAAGAAAGGTTAGTTGTACCTCTCACTAATTTGTATCATAGGTCTTTGCAGTGCCTGATTATTAAACATGCAGTTTAGAATTTACTAAAAGTATGATAAAGCCTTTTAGGAATGTACCAAGACTGTATAAGACTTTTTAAAGGGCCTACATAGCCATCAAGATACTTGTTTCTTAGATGAACTTAAAACTGAATACAGTGTTCAACTCCTTCAAAACCACATGGAAAATACTGCATGGATGTATTTATTTTCAGACCAGTTTATTTGAAACTCAGTATACTTTAAAAAATCAATGCAAAGTGAATTTTACTGTACATAAATTAAACCTCAATAAAACAGGGGAAAGGGGAAAATTAATGTGATAAATTCAGTGATGCTAGAGTCACAGCCTACCTACCTGACTCCCCCAAAGAAAACAACTCTAAGACCTGGAGGTAATAGGAAAAGCAGTTACCTGAAGACACTGGAGAGTGAATGGAAGCAAACAGACTCTGGTTGGGGGGAATACACACAGGAGGAGGTATGTTATACAGAATTCTATATCCAGCAAAAATACTCTTTAAGAATGAAGGTGAGCTAAAGACATTGTCAGATAAAAGCATAAAAAATTCATCACTGGCAGACAAACACTATAAGAAATGCTGAAGGAAGTTTATCTCTGGGTAAATGCATATGACTTTCTTTTTGTTTCTTCCTTTTAATTTCTTTATAAAGTATGACTTTATCTTGTGGAGTTTATAACATACATAAACATGATACATAAAATAATAATAGTATAAAGACTTGGGGTGGGGGATATGGATTTGTATCACTGCAGGGTTTCAATATTTTTTGTTAAGCAGTACAATATTAACTTTATGTGGATTGTACATTGTAATTCCCAGGGCACGGTATGAAAACACAAATGTCAAGAAATAAAGCTAAAAAGCCAATGGGAAAATTAAAATGGAATTCTGTGGACTATTCAAGTAATCAAAAAAAAAAAAAGATAGGAATGGAGGAACAAAATACAGAGGAAACAGACAAAAAACAAATAATAAATGGTAGATCCAGGCCTAAATTTGTTAACAATTACTTTAAAAGTTAGTGCACTAAACTCTTCAATTAAAAGACAAAGATAATCGAAATGGATTTTTCAAAAGATCCAAATACATCCTGTTTACAAGAGATAAATTCTAAAGACATAAAAATTTTCTAAATCTATTAGAACTGAATTAAATTTCAGCAGTATTACCTTAAACATTTCTGAGTTCAACCATCTGATATCAGTATATATAACACTTCTGTTTTGTTTCAACTAATGTTTGTGGTATGGAGTAAAATGACAACACCATTTTGATTTTTAAAAACTTATATAAATATTGGTATTTTTTAAAAAAACATTCAAAATTTAGGAAATAAAAATCAAAAGTCAATAAAACTGAATGTATTTCAAATATAAAATCATAAACATTGAAAAAATCAAATAAGCAGGTTCTAATGTAAATTCTTAGCAGATGAAATTTTTCAAATTAAAAATAAATTACATGAAGTTTTTAAAAGTTAATGAAATTTAAAGGCAAATAATATTTAATATGCATTTTAAAAATTAAGATGTATCGAGATCATTGATGCATATATTTAATGCATATTTTCCAACTGCTGAAAAAAAGTCTTTGTGATTAGTTGGTATATGGTGAAGATATGATAGCTTCAAAAAGTTTCTCTTGGGTATAGGGTATAGCTCAGTGGTAGAGTGCATGACTAGCATGCATGAGGTCCTGGTTCGATCCCCAGTACCTCCATTAAAAATAAATTTAAAAAAAAACCTAATTATCCCCTCAATCAAAGAAGTTTCTCTTGACTCCTTTATTTTCAAATAATTCCAATGCTAATTTAACAATTTTGATGAGATTTTTTTGAAAATACTGTTCTATGGTGGTGAGGAGGGGCAAGGAACAGATACTGTAATTTTTTTGATAATAAACTTTCTGGTTTCAAAGAAAGCATTTCAGTTTGCGTTCATCTTCTTTAGCTTCATTATTTCATCATAAAAGGATGAAGATTTAACTCTGAACTAGAGTAGGAATTGTTCTTGCAGTAGATTCTCTTTTGTCAGCTATAGATGTGTGGAAGCACATTTACCAAATAGACGTATCTTTATTCAACTTACAGTGTTAATGCAAACATAATATTTTGATAAGTCTTAAGTCAGGATTTAGATTTCAGAGTTTTAAAATACTGAAAGAATGAGAGTATATTGACACAGTAATTATAATATAGTACTTTATTATTTTTAATGGAATTACTGGGGATTGAACCCAGGACCGCATGCATGCTAAGCATATGCTCTACCACTGTACCCAGCCCCTTGTAATTTAATACTTTAAAAATAACATGATTTACTAGGATACTGTGAGCCCAAATGACAGTCATTAATTTATAAATAAAGAAAAATCTGAAAACACTGTTACTCTGTTTTTTCTCCTTTGTCCTTGCCTGTTAAATATCTTCTGTTACTACCTTTTCTAGGCACAGGAGTGCCTTCTCTGACATTGGAGAGTCATGTTTGAAGGCAGCTCCAAGAAAACCTCAAGAGTTGATACAAAATAAATGAAACACTAGTGATGTTTAGTAATTCCCAAAAGACATTTGGTTCTTACATATAACAGGCATAATCTTGTATGGACTTTAGCAAGCCACTTGTGATTTTGTGAGAATTATCGTATGCAATATGAAGAAATACAGGCTCAATAACAATAAACACCCAGATGAGTGACTGCTTTCCAAAGACAAATTCTGTCCTCTGCCTTGTTGAGGTCCCCCACTATCATTTGATGAATTGCTGGATTAGGTTTCCAGACTACTTTAGTGTAAAAAAAACCTACAGGGAAAACTAAAAAAATAAAACAAATTTTACAGAGCAAATTACTTTGTCTGAAGTGTGACTAGTTGGAGCAGGGGTAGCATTGGGAATTCCATCCTCTTGGTCTCTTCCTCTCCTCACTGACCAGCATATGGGCCCCTTTTAGGAGGACAGTTTGAAAAGTATTGCAGTTTGTGACACAGGGGTTTCCAACCCTGAAGACTTCCGACAGCTGATAATTTGTGAACCAGTGATGCCAATACTTCTCTGACCTCCTTATCTAGGATTTTTTTTTTAAACAGGAAAAATGTATTCCTGTTATGTGTTCCACATCTTCAACTTCTTTAAGTGCGCTAGCCAGAGAACATGGTGGCGTTTCATTTAAGGATGCTGTTCCTGAGTCATCTAAAATAGTGATGTCCACAGGTAAATTAGTATTTTTAAAGGAGTATAAAATTATCTTTTGTTGTATTTTCAGTGTCTTTGAAGTCCTGGAAATAAGAGGAGAAAAAGATAATAGTAATAAACATTTATCATTTTTCATATTAAAGTATTTTGAAATTTTGATTGTTCATTTAGGTGTTAAGGAAAAACAATTTGTTTAAATACATGAGTCACTTGAAAATTCAATATCCTTAAGGTATTTTATCCATCTTGGTAAGATTTATAAAATTTACATTATTGTCAAATCTATTCTTCTTTTCCCTTTATCTCATTTCACAATTTGTCTTTTTGTCTTGTATTTTTAAAGCTACCTCAAACCATTTTTTAATGCCTGTTAAGATTTTCACAGATTCTTGCCTGTCAAGGTGCATGATGACTTTAAATTGTTCTTTGCTGTTTGAAGAGTGTGAAATGATACAGACCCAGACTAATCAATCCCTTTTGTTTGTCATCTCCTGCAAATTTCCTTATTCCTTTCTTATTTTTTTGAAGCATGTTTCATTACTTCCTCTCCTAGATCCTTAATTATCTTTCGTATATTCTTCTGTTCCCTGGACTTTTTTCCATTGATTTTTCTTTTTTTAGTAAAAAGAAATTAAAATTTAATTTTCTGAAATAGAAATCACTTTAAAAATGATTATTGTAACATATGCCATTTTGTCACTTTATTATTTCTGATTTTTAGTCCATTAGCAGGAGAGACTACCTAAATGAGTATACTGCAAAGGAGATAAAACATTAGAATCCTTGTTTAGCTTCACTTGAACAAGTAGAACTTTGTCCATGCCATCAGCGCCTCAGGTTAAGTTTTTAATAGCTGTTTCATTTCTGTGACAGAGTCCGTCCTTCCTCTGGCTATTGCCTCAAAGTTGAATTATCATATTTCAACATAGTGAAAGTGAGATTAATGGGTTTTTATTATACTAAATATAGACTATATATATATGAAAATTTTGCAATAAATTAAGTAATGGATAAAAATAATGTGCCTGTTGATTTAGGGGGACAATATATTTTGTTTGGTAATAATCATATTATTATTACATTGTATGTTAATTTGTATTTGTTGATTCTGAGTGAAGAAAAATTATGGAAACTGGACTGATGGTGATTATAGATGATTTGCCTCTAAATTCTAAATGCTTTTATTATACTAAGGAAAGCACTTATTTAAAGATTTTCTTCAGTGAACCTCAGCATGTATATAAAGAATGTTTTTATTAAAATTAATAAAAAAAATTTTCTCTAGGTCATTAGAACTTACTGTGACACACATCTTAAATTATTTGCTTACTTTAGAAAATACTGTTTAATGAATTGTTGATTCAAAATAAGTTCAGTCCAAAAGGAGTGTGCTACATGACCAGTTTTGAAAGAAAATTATCGTACTGTGATTCCAGGTAAAAGGTGAAAACATTCATCTGTCTTTAAGCCATTTTATATATTATGGGAATGTGTGAAGAATTGTTTTGTGATGCTACTAAAACTTCTATTTTTTTTATTATAATTGGTTTTGGCAGAATTCTAGAAAATTGAATAAGCATTTGCATTATTTCTTTCTAGGTTTAATATATTTATAAAATGTGAAAATATATTTACATACATATTTTTAGGTAGCAGAAATGATCATTGATATTAACTGTTTAGTTTCTCTTTGAGTGAAGCATGGCTAATGGGATATATAGTGATTGATTATGTAGTGTTTATGTTCCTTTTAACCAATCTCATTGTTTGTTATATCTGTATATACATGTTTTTCTCAAGTCTGTGTCTATATAAACAAACATGGAAACTGTGGCCCTCACCTGGATCAGAAGAAAATCCAGCAGCTGCCTGATCACTTTGGTCCGGGCCCTGTAAATGTGGTTCTCCGGCGGACCGTACAGGCCTGCGTGGATTGTGCCATTCAAAGTAAGACTGTTTTTGGATTCCTTAAGCCAGATCATCGTGGAGGAGAAGTGATAACTGGTATGTTCATCTAATCCTTTATTATCTTTTTTCCCCCCAAATTTGATTTTAGGTTTCGAGAAGGCAAGGATTTTATAATACATAGATTATTTTATAAATTTATATTCTATTAACCATAATATTGAATTATTTAGTATATTAATATGATAGACTATTTATAATAATTATATGTTTATTGACTTTTAACCCTGGTTTGGAAAGTTTAACTTTGAAAATTGGTAAATAATGTCAGAGTAGTATTGTAAATTGAGGTAAAAGGTACAGATTTTTCCTTTTACATGCTACAGTAAGCTCACTATAGATAAAGTACCTTAGTTGATAATATATTTTAATTTTTTTAGAACACAGACTGAGCTATAAGAATCTCTAAAAGAAAATGTGATTCAAAAAGTGATTGAGAGATAAGATACATCTAGCTTTCATGATTGTGTGATCAGATAGATACTGCATTTGTGCCCATGGAATGTTTAGAAGAACAGGAAGTATTGTTACAGATGAGTGGGTGTCTGTATCTATTTTGTTGTTTCCTTACTGATATTTTTAAAGGAGAATGCTTTTATCAACACAGGCTGTTGTGTTTGAATGAGAGGAACTTTTATAATTTAAGATTATTCCTTTGTAAATTATAGAAACTACAAATTAAACTTATATTACATTTCCTAAAATGATGGCTTTTTTGGGTTGATATTGTGGTTCTCATCTTTCTATCCTGTAACTCTGACATCTCTTTTTCCATATAATAGCCTCCTTTGATGGGGAAACTCATTCCATCCAGCTCCCACCAGTGAACAGTGCATCATTTGCTCTTCGCTTTCTTGAGAACTTGTGCCACAGCCTGCAGTGTGATAACCTTTTGAGTAGCCAGCCTTTTAGCTCTTACAGAGGTAATAATAATAGTCCTACAGAGCATGATGAAAATAACTCAGGTAAGAGAAAATGTAAAATTGTATACTGTGCTTCTGTTTTATATTACATTCTATATTAACTTGAGAATCTTCTGTAATTCAGTGTTTCCTTGTGTCCTCCTCAAAGTAAACCTTTTAGCCACAATGAACTAATCAGACATGTATGATATATGAACTTGAAAATGAAAACCTCAGAGGTATATCATTGTGATTTGATTTGCATTTCCCTTATGGCTGATGTCGTTGAGCATCTTTCATGTGCTATTGGCTATTTGTACATCGTCATTGGAGAAATGTATATTCAAATCCTTTGCCCATTTTAATTGGGTTATTTGTCTTTATTATACAGAAATACATATTATACATGTATATATTACATTTTATATTTATATTTATTATACATAAATATAATATATAAGGAATTCTTTATATTTGGGGGATAAAAGTTTCATATCAGATATATACCTTAAATATATTTTCTGCCATTCTGTGAGTTGTCTTTTCACTTTCTTAATAGTGTCCTTTGAAGCACAAAAATTTTTAATTGATGAAGTCCAATTTACCTATTTTTTGTTTCTTGTACTTTTGTTGTCATATGTAAGAAAACAACATATACAAGTTCATAAATATTTATTCCAATGTTTTGTCCTAAGAATTTTATAGTTTTAGCTGTTATATTTAGGTCAGTGATCTATTTCAAATTAATTTTTCTTTATGTTGTAAGATATAGGGGTCCGATTTCGTTCTTTCACAGGTGGATATCTAGTTTTCACAGCACTGTTTGTTGAAAGATGGCTTTTTCACTATTGATTTGTCTTGGCACCCTTGTCAAAAATGAATTGACTACAAATATATGGGTTTATTTCAGAATTTTCAGTTCTATTTCATTGATCTGTATGTCTATCCTCATGGCAGTACTGTACTATCTTGACTACTGTAGCTTTTTGTAGCAACTTTTGAAATTGGGAAGGATGAATATTCCAACTTTGTTCTCCCATTTTGAAGATTGTTTTGACTGTTTTGAGTCCCTTGCGTTTCTATATGAATTTTAGGATCAGCCTCTCAGTTTCAGGTGTTGTTTTTTTTCCCCGCAGCAAAGAAGACAGCTGGGATTGTGCTGATTCTGCGGATTAGTTTGGGGATTATTGTCATCTTAATATTAAGTCTTTCAGTCCATAAACATGGGATGTCTTTCGTTTTATTTAGGTCTTTATTTTATTTCAACAATGTTTTATAGTTTCAGAGAGCACACGTGGCACTTCTTTTGTTAAATTCATCCCTAAGTATTTCATTCTTCATGCTATTATAAATGGAATTATTTTCTTAATTTAATTTTTGGATTGTTTCATGAAAGTCTGTTTTCTCTGATATTACTATAGACTTTTCAGTCCTATTTTAAGTACTATTTGTATGATATATTTTTTCTTACCCTTATACTTTGAACCTGCTTCTGTGTTTGAATTTAAGATGTGTCTCTTATAGTAAGTCTGTAACTGGAACTTTTTAAAAAGTCCATTCTGCCAATCTAATTTTTTACTGGAGTGTTTATTTCATGGATATTTAATATAATTACTGATAAGGTAGGATTTACATCTACCATTTGATACCTGTCTTCTGTATGTCTTTTTTTAATCTTTTTTCCTTCATTACTGCCTTCTTTTGTTCTAAATAGATGTTTTCTTATATGCCATTTTAATTCCCATGTTCTTTTTACTAAATATTTTTATTTATTTTCAAATTTTTCTTGAGTTGCTTTGGGGATTACAGTTAACATCTTAATTTAAAACTATCTAGTTTGGATTAATACCAGCTCAATTTTAATATTATGCAAAAACTTTGCTCCAGTATAAATTTATTTCCTGCCCCTTCTTTGTGCAATTATTGTTATACAAATTACATTTTATACATTATAAGCCCCCAAATACAATTTTATAATTATTCCTTTATGTAGTTGTTTTTATTTATTTTTTAAATTTTTTTCTTTTTTCAGTTTTATTATGTAAAATTATTACAATTTGACTGCACATACTATATTGCATGTAAATACATATATACAGTATACTGCACATTTTTTTAGTTCACATATATGTACTAATTATTGTTTCTAAGTGTAGTTTTTCTTTAAATGAAAAGGGAGAAGAAAAGAGTTATCAATACAAATATGTTTACTGGTACTCTTTTTTTTTTTTTTTGGTAATGTGGATTTAAATTACTTGCTACATTTCAACTTGAAGGAGTCTCTTTAGTATTTCTTATAAGATAGCTCTGCATGTGAGAAATTGTCGGGTTTTATTTATAGATAATTTCCTATTTTCTCTTTCATCTTTTAAAGGTTAGTTTTCCTACATAGAGAATTCTTGATTGACCATCTTTTTGTTTCAAAGCTTTTAATGTGGCATCCCACTTCCTTCTAGCCTCTGTAGTTTCTGGTAAAAAGTCAGTTGCTAATCTTATTGAGGATCCTTTGTATGTGATGATTTGCTTTTCTTTTGCTCATTTCGTGATTTTGTCTTTTGCTTTTGATGGTTTGACTGTGTTTTTTCTAAGTGTGAATATCTCTGTGTTTTTCCTATCTGAAATTTTTGAGCTTTTTGGATTATGCAAATTAATGTTTTTCATTAAATTTGGAAAGCTTTAGACATTGTTTTTTCATATGTTCTTTCTACCCCTTACTCTCTCTCCTCTCCTTCCAGGACTCTCCCATTATGTGTATTTTGGTAGCCTTGGTGGTGTCTCACAGGTCTCTGAGGTCTGTTCATTTTTTCTTACTCTTTTTTTTTTCTGTTCCTCAGACTATGTAATCTCAATTGACCTTTTAAAAACTTAGTGATTCTTTCCTCTGCTAATTCAAAGCTGATGCTGAGCCCTTCTAGTGCTTTTTTTTCTTTTAAATTTCATTAATTACACTTTTCAAGTCCCAAATTTCTATTTGGTTCTTTTCTATAATTTTTATTGCTTTATTGATAGTATGAGACATTGTTCTTATACTTTGCTTTAGTTCTTCAGGCATGATTTTCTTTTAAAGTTTTTTGAACATGTGTAAAATAGCTGACAGAAGTCTTTGCCTAGTAAGTCCAGTGCCTGGGCTTCCTCAGAGGCAATTTCTCTTGACTTTTTTTCCCTGTGTATGGGTCATACTTTTCGTTTCTTTGTAGGTCTCCTAAATTTTTAATTGAAATTTTAAAATAATGCAGCCAGTCCGAAAATCAAATTCCTTCCCCTTTCCTAGGGTTTGTTGTTGCTGGTGCTATTTGGTTTTTAGTGACTTTCCTGGACTAATTTGATGACTTCTCTTGGGCTAGTTTTACCATACATGGCTACTAAAGTCTGTTCAGTTAGCTTAATGGTCAGCTGATGATTGGACAGGGATTTTCTTAAATGCCTTGGAACCAGTAGCCAAGGGGTTTTGTTTATGTGTTGGGACTTACCTTGAACACTCCAGGAGTCAGTTTACAAGTCTCCTTTGTGCAGAGCTTCAAGGTCAGCAAAAAAATGAAAGATTAGGGCCTTCTCAAGTCTTTCCTGAGCATTCATACAGCCATGTACATACATATGGCCTTCTAGATTCCCAAGAGTGTCTCAGTGCTCTTCAAGTCCCCTAATGGACATCTCACTCTCTAGTTTTTCCTTTTAAGCTTTTTAGTCAGCTTCTTGTCAGCCCCAACTGGTAATACTGCCTCAGGGAGCTGCTGTGTAAACAACTGCCACTATTTTGGTTTTCTTTTTCTTTCTTTCTTTCTTTTTTTTTTTTTTTTTTTTTCATTTTGTTTTGGTTTAGTTTTTGACCAGTGCTTTGGAGATAGGGCTGTTTCTCACAGAACAAACTGATTCAGGTCAAATAAAACAAGCCTGGAGATCAGAGGCTTTCAGTGAGCTGCAAGATTGGTTGAATAGTGACAGTTCTCTGGGGATGGAGCTTTTGGAGAATTCCAAATCCATTGTGCCCCTCCAGTGCTAGGCTGCTGGCTTTCACAGCTACTGCACCTGTGAAGCTGTTGGTTTGCAAGGCTGCTTTGAAACTGAGGTGAAGGGACTGATATAGGGAAGCTAAAATGCCACAGAATTTGCTGTTCTTTCTGAGATTCAGCCATTTTTCCTGAATATATGCTTTTTGGATTATCATAAGCCTCTAATTGATGTCCAGAGTTTTGAGAAAGTTAATTTTGCCAATGCTGTCATTATTTTTATGGAGGAGTGGATTTTCCTAAGTCCTTAATCAGTCATCCTGGAAGTGCCTCTCTATGATGACTTTTAAAGTACTTTGTAAATTATCTGGCTTTTTCTAGTTACCTCTGCAGGAACAGTTTTTATGCCTGAGCTCAGTACAATACCCAATTGCAGAAATCAAGAATTAATTTTGTGTTTGTATCAACCCCAGATAGTAGACCAGCTTCATAAACTTTTCATAAAGAATTATAATATTACAAGTAAAAAATAAGTGAAGACTCTTTCTGATGTTACTATGATTCTGAGATAAACATCAACAGAAAACTATAGAAACTATATACTTTAGTACTCAAATTTTCTTTATCATTAAGTGGGTATAAAAAAAGTCAGTTATTTCTTTTCTTAGAATTTAGCTGTTCTGATTGTAGAAATCTCTCTCATTCGTTGAAATATATTTTGCCTGTTGGTTTTGTAGTTGACGATTAAAAATAAAATCAAATGGTAAGAGTTCTCTTAGACTCATTAGTAATCAGTCAGTAACTGGATGGCTAAAGGTTATATCAGATTTTTTTTGAGAGGCATCCCTGGCCCCCAGCCATTTTAAACTAGATGAAGTTTGACTTTGGTACTTTCTCATTGCAATCTTTCTTCTGTCTCGAGGCCTATTATCATACTTCATAGATTTCTGTTGTACTTTATTTTTCCTTTTAGTTGGATATTAAATTAAAATATTGATTGATACTTAGAATGTAATTAATAAATTGAGTTGTCTTTACTTTCAGGAGTATGCCTTAAAGAGTGGTCCTTTAGGGAGAAATTCATTCGGTTGAATGATAAGTAAACAATAGAATTGTTGTAAGGCTAGCCCTAGGCCAGGATTATTGCCTGTAAAATGGACTGTTCATTGCACCCCATCTTCTCTTTAACTTCTCTGAATTCTTAACTTTCCTTGCTTATGGGAGCAATTTTCCCAGACCTTTTTAGACCCATTATAATTGGTTGCCTCACTGCTTCCTGAAATAATTAGAAAGATATGATAACTCTAGAATAAATGAAGCCTAGACATAATACTTTAAACTCTTGAATGTATCACTGAAATATTTAGTAGGTTGAAATGAACACATCTTATTCATAAACAATCAAATAATTGATAAATTATTGATGAAGTTATAGTAGGCAAATGATTCAGAAATAAAAGTATTTTGATATGAAAATACTAAGTATATTAATTCATTATAACAGACATCTTTTTTTTGAAAACAGAAAAAGAAGATATAACAGAAAAGAAAAGCGCCAAACGACCTTCTCAGCAACCTCTGCCTTATGTTCCTCTCTCTCCTAAGCTTCCCAAAACAAAAGTGCATGCCTCTGAAGGTAAATAGTTTTCTTCCCAAGATTGGGAAGAAAAGTCACTTTGCTAGCACTTATGTATGCTTTTGGGTGTTGGTGTTGGGAACGGGAGTATATTTGCCCAAATCAATTTGGCAATTAGCATACTGCTTTGGCAGTTTTGTTGAGCACTTCATTCCCTTCAGAAGTGCACAGTTGTCATTTCTGGATTAAAGAAAATCAATTATAGCGGCATTTTCCATTTAACTTTGTATTGCTAAAAGCTGATAGAAGGAGGACTTGAAAACCCTAGTACATTTCACCAGTGAACGTTTTAAGTGCCCAAGTAGTAAGCAAATGTTAGAAACCACCTATGTGATCATATTATAACAAATAGTTGTAAAGAACTACATTCCTAAAGATTAATGCTTTAGTGAGGTATTCATAGCCTTGGTGGCAAGACTGGCAAGGGAGAGTTGCCATGAGGAATATAGGTGATGTCACAGAATCACTGGATTTCAGGCCAGTGTCCATTACTATAAACACCAAGAAGGGGATGGCTGTGTACTTTGTGTTAAGAGGTTTGTGGTTTGGTATAGAATGGCTTAAGTGAACTGTTGTTGGCAATTAGGAGATTTTTGACCTTTTAATAGTATTTGAGCTGTTAACCCGTTGAAGATAATTGCCTTTGTCTTTTTTCTTGTAGAAGAAGTATTGTCTTCTGAGGGAACTGTCATGCCTGTAGAGGAAGAGCTTCCTGATGAGTCTCAGAATGCACCACTGAATTCAGCAAATTCTTTGAATCCTGCCAGCAGAAATCCTATAAGCATTCATACTGCAGTCTCCTGGAATTTTCCTCAAAGTGTGCCATGCACCTCAGATTCAGCACTAGTGGAGACTACGTCACCTACCAAGAGCAGTCACTATGAAGTTAAATTCCAAATGCAGAGGAAAAGTGAAGGTATATTCAAAAACAGTGATTCTCAACCGATGTGTTTGTCTTTCCCTTTAAGGTTTCCATTCCCCACAATATCCCCTGAGAGTGTATCACATTGGAGAAAGTGCCAAAATTGAGGAAGTGGAGACCCCCGCCTCATGTCACTGTCTGGGCCAAGCTGCTACAGATGCTCTAATTGTCATGACATTACAGAACCATTTCTGGGGATCTCAATCACCAACTATGTCTCTGATAGAGACTTGTCAGTTTAGTGATTCTGAATCCATCATACTGTATTGTTTCCTTGTGCACTGCCTGGACTCACAAACCTCTCATGACTCTGAGGCCTGAAAGGGTACATTCCCTCTCCTTTCTGATGTACTCTCTTCCTGGTCTCTCTTGAGACCTTTTATGGTCCCAGCCCACGTGTGGCCCCCAGATCGTGGCTCTGGCATCCTATTGCTGCAATCATTTCCCCATTTTCCACACCCTCAGTCATTCCGTCAGACCCACCAGGAAGATATGATGTGTGTAAACAGAGCAGCGTCCTATTCCCTGTTGTTTGGAAAGAGCCAAACAGCCTTCCATATGCAAAGATAGCTACTATCCTGTACCCTTAAAGGATTAAGGGTGCTGGGATGCTGAGAAAGTGTTTTGTCCTTTTTTTCCAGATAGGCATCTAGGCAATGTTGAGGGGTAAAGGAAGTAGGAACTAACTGCTTTGCCTTTCATAATGGATGTTATCTATGGGCAACTGTACTGTACACATGCTGTGACCCATTTAATGTCATCACCCCCATCTCATACCCCATGTAGATTGTCTTTGGTTTTAGGGTGATTTTTGTGGAGAGTTTGAAGATAGATGTTCATTTAATAACAGGGTAGTGTACCCTGAATTTTTAGATATTTTCACAATATATGAGTTTATGAAGAAAGGCCTTCTCAATAAAAGGCTCTCAAAGGTAATCTCCAGTGCTGAATATCTCACTTCCAAATGTATGTCTAACACTACCATGCCAAAGTAGCCTGTTTGGGGGCTTGAGAATACTAGCTTCTGGTCTTCCTAGGAGTGGAAAGACTAATAGTAATAACAGTACTTAATAGTAATAGAAATCATCGCCTTCATCACTATCTGACATGTGCCAGGCATATAATATTTTACGTAGCCTCATGCATTACATTTTTACAACAATTCCTTGAGATGTAGGTGCTGGTAAACATTCTCAGGTGAGAAATCTGAGAAGTCACTTGACTAAGGTCCCCCAGCTAGAAAGTGGCTGGGCTAGTCCTGACACTCTGGCTACAGGGCTGTACTCTTAACCACTGTGCTACCTACATCTCCAGAGAATAAGTAAGCATTTCACTTGGAAATTGTCTAGAAGTGTCATTACTATTATTTTCTTTAAAGTATTGAAACAGTTACTTAAAGCTGAGTCTGCTCTTGATTGCTGGTGATGCTCACACAACCTTCTACCCTGCTGTGCCCTGCCCCAGCCCGATATTTGAAACAAATCGTTGATTTTTATTATACGAAAGAAATTCATTAACATCATTGGGGATAAAATCAAATCACTTTCAGTTTATTTATTTCACAAATATTTACTGATATCCTAATGTGTGTAAGACAAAGCCATTAAGGGGAAGAGCATGACTGGACTTTGTTTTTCACATAATTAGTTTGTTTCATGTAATTATTTGTAATTCTCTTCTCTCTGATCATTTTGAAGATATGGGCCCAATTAAATTATTTTTCCATGATAGGTTAGAAGTAGATGAGCTTAAAGTTGTTTTATTTTTAATGTAAAATTATAGTTTTATACCAGAAATTATATCTTTACATATATTTTATTCATAGTAATCCGTAAAAGTAGTTACATACTACTCAAGATATAACTATACCAGATTCTGATGACAGAAACCAAAAATCCCACAAAAATATAAGTTAATTTAGAAATATGATTAGCCTTACCAATAGTTTTTTAATATTAACTTGAGTCTTTCTTGAGTTAAAGGAGAAGAATTTTCTTTCTGAATTGTTAGAATGCCTTAGGCATGGCATGGTCTAAACCATCATCATTTTTACTTGGGTTGATACAGCCCAGCAGCATTTCTTGGTAGACCAACATTTTTGTCTGATAAGTGGAAAGGAGGATATATTTTATTAAAGTGTTTTTATTTCACATCAAAGTTGCGATACTAAAAAAGAAAATTCTGAGCTACACAATAAATTTACAATTGTGAGTTCTTTTATCTTCTGTTTTTCTTTTGCCCTTTCCCTGAGTAAATACTCAAAATACCCCTAAAATGGCAAGAGCCCAGATGATAGGAAAGAAAAGGTGCACTTTGGGCAGTTCACACAAAAAAAAGATCAAATTTCTGTTGACAGTCCTTGGTTAGAGAAACAGATCTTCCTAGCAGATTACAAAACTCACTTCTGTTATCACACTAACTTTAGGGAGTTGAGCACTCTGGTTGAGTAAATGAATAATTATCTGGACACAAAGAAATTTCAGCACAACTTAGTGAACAGCACAGCTACAACTTTTTAAGATATGAGCACTTAAATTGTTTCATGTCTCAGTTATTTCTTTTTTAAACATATAAACCTTCAACCAAAATATCTATTACTATGCAATAAACTTGAAAGAAGTATTCAGTATAATATTAAATAGGTATTTCTAACCTAGCTAAGCAAGAAAATAATATTTTCTTCAAAATCCAGGTAAGCATTTAAACCTTGAGAGACAAGAATTTTAAAGAATAAAGTGATGCTAAAAAATACCCATATTGAATACATGGCAGAGATTTGGTAAAGAACTAATTTGGTTCTCCAAGATCGTGGGGGTTGTTGAAATTCATTGAAATGAATAAAATTAAGCAACTATAAAACTGTAAATTCTGGGAATTTCCATTGTAATTAGCTAGTAAAATAAACCTAATCTGGAGAGACCGAGAGGGGAAAGATTGAGAGAAATTCTTTGAAATACTTTAAGAGAGCAATGGGTTAGCTTAAATTAACCTAATTTAACCCAAGTAACAGATCTTTTGCTATATTTGCCTGTGGCCAAAGAGGCCTCGGATCGCTCAGTCTCTTTTATGATTTTTGAAGCTTTTAGGTACCTTCAAGAGCTGCTTTTGTGGTTTGGGGGAGGTCAGGTGAGATGTTCGTGGGGAGCCATCCTCAGGTCATCTTTATATAGGCTCTCACTGGATTTTACACTTGGAGTCCTGGGTCCATACTGGGGTACTTCACAGAAGGTTCCAGGAATGAGACCATTAATCCCCACCTAACATCTCTTCTTTCAGGATAATGATCAGGTCAAGTATGATTTGTCTTCCCCCCCCCCCCATTGAAGCTCCAGGTTATATAGCTGTACCTGATCCCAGTGTCCTGAAACAAGGCTTCTCTAAGGACCCTTCAACCTGGTCTGTGGATGAAGTGATACAGTTTATGAAAAATAAAGATCCTCAAATATCAGGCCCCCTCGCCGACCTCTTCAGGCAACATGTAATGTATCTTTTGATCCAGTTTTCCTGCTGTTAATGCCTTTGAATGACCTCTCTGCAGGCTCCTCGGTTGGATACTGATTAGTGTGGATGGTGGGGGAACCCTATCAACTGATTTGTCCATATGTGAGAAAGTTTACTTTGCCTAGAATTAGATCCTTAAATGGTAGAGGCTGGATCTGTGCTTTAAAGGGTACCAAAGTACCTAAAATACAAGTCTTCAAGTTCTCAAGAGAAGATGATTCAGCACAGCCACTCTAAGGTGTCTTCTTTGTAATGACAGCTACAAGGATCCTCCTCCCCACCTGCTCCCTGCTCGGCCCCAGGACCGGGAGTAGGAGGGGTAACCACAGCTGTGACAGGGTGTCCTCCTTGTTAAGATGCCCGATTAATCCAGCAACTGTATAAGATTAAGTGCAGCTTTATTTTAAGTAGGAACTCATGAATACCAAATAATATGCTTCCATGATGTAAATTGTTTAATCAAGGAAATAAGGAATATTAGGAGGATGCCTTGTATCTGTTAAATAATGTTTATAGTCTTTTCTAACAAGTCAAATTAGTGACCAAATATCTGATGTATCCTTTTTGATATTGTAAGAAAATCAGTAATAAGTTTTAGCATCTAATTAGCAACTAACTGAATAGCTAACTGAATAGCTTTCAACATAAAGACAACACTGTATAGCACATTTATAGTTTGTATTAATGCTGACATACTCGTATTTCCAGCCTTTCTAAGAAAGTTAATGACCATCTGAAATTCATTTCTACAGTTTGTTTTCTACTCTTTGTCATAGATATGTGGTATTTTATTCAGCACATAGTATAAATTCAAATTCAAATGTTAAGGCCATTTTTCAAAGATGCTGGGTTAAATTTCCTTTTTCTTAAAATTTAGAAATTATCAAGTGATGCTTCACGTAACGTACAGTTAGATTTTTAATAGTTTTTCAGGAAATAAATGCATATTCAGAGAATATATATTGAAAATGTACAGTTGCTCTCTATTTTACATGCTCATATATAACTTGACAAAATATGAAATAATTATAATTTCTTTCTCTCTGTAGGAGATTGATGGGAAGGCTCTGCTACTACTCAAAAGTGATGTGATGATGAAGTATATGGGGCTGAAGCTGGGGCCAGCCTTAAAGTTATGCTACTATATTGAAAAACTTAAAGAAGGAAAATATAATTGAAAAAAATGTGCAAGTTTAGATTAGACATAATTTTCAGTTGTCCTGATAACTTTTTAATTTAAAAGTATTTTTATTCTCATAGCAATTTTATTTTGTAGAAGGTTCCTCTAAAAATACGTTTTATCCAGAGTTGCAGAACTACATTACAGTCCAGTCTTCTATAAAAAACATAAATATGATAGTATTAGCATATTCAAATTGGCAGTTCTTTATGTCTTTTCATTATGTTACAGTTTACAGTTTATTATTTTATTATGCAGTTTACAAATATAATTCACACAGGAAATAGAGAAACACTTTGATTTTGGTTAATGTTTATATGTAAAACCAAAACAGCTAAATCCCAAAGGGGAAAGTGTCAGGGACTGACAGATTCTCTAAGGAAATCCATGAGAAATTTTACTTAGAAGAGAATTTAAAGATGCAACTATAGATATCATCTCTTTCTCAAATGTTTTATGTCTTACTGCAATGTTCTGTTTGTGTTCTACCAGTTTCCAGAACAGGAATAGCCATATAAATTATTTTCCTTTCATTATTATTTCTCTGTATGTTGTGTTTGTTCATATTTAAAGAAAAAAACAAGCTTATAAACTTTCATAAAGTGTTCTTACCAGTTTTTGAAAAATTTCGAACAATTGTAGGATAGATAGAATAGTTGTTTTATGCAGGAGATATTATACTACAAGGGTGGTTTGGATGGAGTATGACTAAGTTTTTTTCAGTGAAATACCTATTATTTCAAAACTTTACATATTTTCACCAAGTTTAGACATTTAACTAAGCATTCCTTTCTCACACCTCTATATGAAGACACCTGTGCCCAAATTTTTAAAAGATATATATTTTATTGTCTGTGTTTATTCCTCACAGAAATACTATACCATATTTATATATTACTCTATACCTGTAGGTATACAAACAAGTAAATCTGTCCTTTTTGAATTTAATATGGCACTTTGCACTGCCACAGAGGTAATGGTTAACTATTTATATAGTTAGATGTTTTTATTCTGAAAAAATATGTGTATCATTTGCTAAGACTAGTACCTCTCAGCTTAGTCTTCAGGGGATATGAAACAATCCGTAGATTGGTTCCATACAGGGAAGTTCTCTGTCCTATGCAATGTTCCTAGTTTAATTCACTTAGTTCTGAGCCATTTATTCTCCTAAATTTTGGAAGATGCATTAATTCTGACTTACCATTTGGGCTTTATTTTTAAAGTTAGAAACTTTCAAGGGGAAATGGTGCTATATGTTTATTGTTATTACTTTGTATAACTTTGGTGTAATGTTTATAAGCTATGAGAATCTGTGCTAAAAGTATTAGCCATTTGTTATAAATGCCAATAGAATGTACACCAGGGGGCAAGAATGTACATTTTCTTTTTTAGAAAACCAAATGTACTTTATACAAGAATGCTACTATTTAAAGGGTGGTTTCATCTATGTTATTCCTTCTGTGTTATAAAAAAAATCTAATTTAAACTTGGTCTCACAAATTGTGTGAAGATGCTGTGCCCAGTTAAACAGTCCTCAGGTGTTTGTACAAATACTGTTTTACAATTTTCAGATTTTAAAATATAATAAAGTTTAATAACCTCAACAATTAATGTTGAGTGATTTTACTTGCTTTCACCGCATTACATTAATGTATGAATTGGTTGTAGTTGAAGAAGCAGCACTCCGTATGTTTGTGGCTTTATGTGTCCATATACTTGGTTTTAACACTTGCCCTTGTTCTGCTGGTGAAGAGCAAAGGGCTGATCTCTTGTAGAGGCCTTAAATGAGACCCTAGGAAAGTAGTAAGAGGTTAAATCACTGAGCTTAATCTGTGCTCAAAGCTTTTGTTACTTGCACTGTTATCGATGATGCAAGTGTGCTAGAAATGGCATTGCCCCCAGATATCTCATCCCACCTAAATTCATGCCTCGGGCTGGCAATTTTGGCTGCTCTTTTACCTCTGGGGGCCTGAAGCCATACTGCTGCTCTGCCCTCAGCTCTCCTGGCTTACCTAGTGGAAAAGCTCGGGGTTGTGGTTAAATTGCCTTCAACATCCAACCCCTCGGCCCACCTACCTCAGGAGCTGCTGCCTTGGAACCCAGAAACTTTACTGCTGCTCTTTGGGTCCTAACTGAGGCTCTAGGATGAGGCTCAGGTAACTGGAATGAGGGTGTCGATTTGCTATCTGAGACTTGGGTGATTCAAAACCACTTGTTTTTTTCACTGTCTGGTTTGTAAATTTTTGTCCAGAGAATATCATGCTGTGTTAGCCACCTGTGAACTTAATTATCTTTGCTCTAGTTTTCCCTCTCAGTCCATCCTTTGACCCTCTATAGGCAGCAGGATCCTGCAACTTGAGATCTGAAGCATTCTGGGCAAATTGAGCATTTGCTCTCGTGTTTTGTCTGTGATTTCTAGTTGAAGTGTCTTAAGGTACATGTTCCAGAGTAGGATTTCCCAGACTATTAAACTGAGACTCTCTGTGTAAACATGAAAAAGCCATGCCCTTCTGTCATACTATTAGGAATTAAAAATTAAACATCATGACTAGGAACAGTGATTACGGGAGGAAAAGTGCTGCTTTTTTCCAGCTACATAAGGGACTGTATTCACAGTTGGCTGAATAAATGAAGTATATTTAAATTTCTAGGGCTGTTTCTACAGTGTGATACTGGTTCTTGCTTATATTTTTAAGTCCTCTGAGGTTAATCCAGGGAATGGGAAAGGCTCTAGGGTAGGGAGGATGTACAAACCAGGGCCCACCTTCACAATGCATGGCAGACAGTTTGCATCCAATCCCTCCTTACAGTTCCCCTGTTTTGTCCAGCAGCTTAATGGAATTGAACCTTGGAAGCAGCTCTCCACAGTGAGCGCATACTCAGGCTAAGCTTGCCCACTCTCTCTGCTGTACAAGGGGCAATAGCAAAAATATTTTATTATATCTTTCAGTCCGACAC